CCAGAAGAAGAAAGCAGTGCCTTTTCACTTAGGCCCCTTCTACACTGCCATATAATCCAGATTATCAAAGCAGATAATCCACATTATCTGCTTTAAACTGAATTATATGAGTCTACACTGCCATAAAGTTCCATTCAAAGCAGAGAATCTGGATTTTATATGGTCATGTAGGTGGGGTCAGAGCCAGCCAGAAAAAGACAGCTTCAGGAAGGCATTCTTGAAGAGACCATTAATTCTCTTCTTATCACCCAGTTTCTGGGAAAGGAAATGTAACAGGACAACAGTGACTGTTCCAAGGAAGAGCAAAAAGGAGGCCCTGTATTTGGAACACATTTGGTTTTACTCATGCTTTCCTGCCTCAGCCCAGTTTTTTTGTTTTTTGTATTTTGGTAAATAAGGCTGTGTGTTCAGAGTTTTTCTGCCAAGGCTACCTTCATCTCAATTTGGTATCAGTCTGGAGGAAGAGAACTGCATAGAGTAGCCTTGACCAGCACTGACAACCTCATCACATGGGGCTTTATGACTGTCCTAGGATGCAGCCAGGATGGAACCCATTACATGACACAGTGCTACTTCTAGCAGGCTCCGTCCTGGATCAGTACACGCTGTGTCTTGACAGTATGCTAAGAGGCAACCCTAATAACATGTGTGACTGCCCGTGCCCTCATTGAATAAGCTGGGGACTGTGTAGGATCAAGCCGAGGAGAGACGGGAAACTGCATGGGATAGTGAGGGGGCGATTTGGGGCATTTATTATTTATTTGTTTGTTTATTTCGTATACTTCTACCCCGCCCTTCTCAACCCCCGGGGGGGGGGGGACTCAGGGCGGCTTACAAAAAGGCACATCTTGGTGCCTACACAAATACAATAACATATAAAACCAGCAATTAAATGGTCAACAATTAAAACAATTAAAATTACAAAATCAATAGCCAATCTCAGACACAGCATTCACCAGTCTCAGAGTTCATATTTCGTTCCACCTTGTCCAATTCCTATCCATCGTTACAGTCCTTTATTCATCTGCCAGATTGCCCAAACGCCTGGTCCCACATCTATGTTTTTAATTTCTTTCTGAAGGAAAGAAGGGATGTTGCTGATCTAATCTCCCCGGGGAGTGAATTCCATAGGTGAGGGGCCACCACTGAGAAGGCCCTGCTCCTCGTCCCCGCCAATCTCACTTGTGACAGAGGCAGGGCCGAGAGCAGGGCCTCCTCAGAGGATGTCAGACTCCGAGATGGGACGTAAAGAGAGATGCATTCGGACAGATACGCTGAGCCGGAACCGTATAGGGTTTTGTAGGTCAAAACCAGCACTTTGAATTGTACTCGGAACTGGATAGGCAGCCAGTGGAGCTGGCATAACAGGGGGGTGGCTCACTGGAGCCAGATTGCTCCAGTGAGCAATCTGGCTGCCTCCCGCTGGACTAATTGAAGTTTCCGAACAGTCTTCAAAGGCAACCCCATGTAGAGTGTGTTGCAGTAATCTATTCGGGACGTAACAAGAGCGTGGACCACTGTGGCCAGATCTGACTTCCCAAGGTACGGGTGCAACTGGTGCACAAGTTTTAATTGTGCAAAAGCTCTCCTGGCCACCGCTGAGACCTGGGGTTCCAGGCTCAGCGATGAGTCCAGGATCACTCCCAAGCTGCGAACCTGTGTCTTCAGGGGGAGTGTAACCCCATCTAACACAGGCTGTAACCATATGCCCTGTTTGGCCTTACGACTGACCAGTAGGACCTTTGTCTTGTCTGGATTTCAGTTCCATGTGATGAGGTCCTTAGTTCTATCCTTCACACTCCACCGTAGTAGAATTTCAGCTTGATACATTTTTGTCTTTGAGAATAGTGCTTCCAGACCTCATCCCCAAACAAAAAAAGAGCTTTGATATTGAAGTGGTAGTGTCCGTGCAAAATTGATTATCTACCCAATTGCTATGTTGGGTTGAAAAGGCCAGATCCAGCCAATTGGCCAGGCAGTGTTTTGCCCTTTTCTACCATTTATAGCGAGATCACCTTTCCAAGCCATCAGACGGCTCTGTATCTGCTTTTATGCAGTGTACCTCCTCTAATTTATAGAATCATAGAGTTGGAAGAGGCATCATGGCCACTGAGTCAGACCCCAAGCTCAGTATAGCATTTCCTGCTAAAACATCCTCAACAGGTAATCGTCCAGCTCCTTTTAAACATTTCCAAAGAGTAAGGATCTTCCACCTCTCTAAGAAATAGGGTCTATTGATGAAAATCTTTTATTTGCAAACTGTTAGATCTGGTCCAACCCAATGGGGCAGCAGAAAGGCCATCTGTCGGGGTTGTTTTGAATGTGAAGCAAACAGTTTTCTTTGGGGGAGAAAATTGAAGCAAAATAAGTAGTTTTACCTTTTGATTGTGATCTGTTGCCCCTTTGCCATCTTTCTTGAACAGTAGTGTCACTGTCTTCTTGGTCACTCTCTTGCCTCAAATACGACAAAAAAGAAGAGATAGCTGGATGTAAAAATATTTCTTAAAAGGAGTTTCCTTGTTAGAGGCTTTGTTAAGACACATGCCTGTATATTGCTCAGAAAAGTCAGAGATTTTGTCTAATTCTGAGGATTCATCTCGAGTTGTCAACTTGTCATTGTTTCGGTAGCTCAGTCAATGTCCCATCTTTCTAGGTAATTGTCAGTAGAGGAGGATTAGAATTAGTGGTTGGGAAGGATATACTTCTCAGTCTTTTGTCTAAAATCACGTGTAATATGCATGTGGAGAGCAATGTAATTGTATCCTTGCTTTATAATGAAACTAGATGTTTTTTAAATGCAGTCATTTTCTATAGGAGCACACCATGGATTGTCTAAACTGCATTTCCATTCCCTGAAAAGGTTGTTTTAAATGCTCCCCATCAAAAAGGAAAGGCAGTCTGAACATGATCACAGGCACTTTGTCTTTGGGGTCTTCTCTTGCTTCTCCTTTGAGCTTAGAGAAAAGATACTCTATTGTTGCAAATGCACGAAAATCTTTGCAAAGTTCGGGGGAAATAAAAAGATCAAAACTAGAAGATTCTACCCCCAACCAAATATTCTGAAGTATCATGTTGATCCTTTGTCAACTTTTAAATTTCCTCCTCCTTGTGCTTTTTCTCTCATAGTGTTCCACTTGCTGCATGTTCATCCTTATCCCCTTTTTGGTTGTCTTTTTGCCCCCTGCAGTGTTCCAGCTACTAATAGTCTGGAGGAAGAGATAAGACGTTGGGGGCTGGTTGGTTTTTTCCCCCTCTTCCCAGGCAGCTATTATAATTGGTGACAAAGTGTTATGCTGCTTATAGAATTATTGATTCTAAGGAAAATTGGGTTTCTTGAATTTTTCGAGGTTTTTCAGGGCCATTATATGGAGCCCTTGGTAGTGCAGTGGGCTAAAGCATGGAGCTGCTGAACTTTTTGACTGAACGGTCGCTGGTTCGAATCGGGGGGGGGGGCAGCATGAGCTCCTGCTATCAGCCCCAGCTCCTGCCAACTTAGCAGTTCAAAAACATGCAAATTTGAATAGATCAATAGGTACTGCTCCGGCAGGAAGGTAACTGCGTTCCATGCAGTAATGCTGGCCACATGACCCCTCGATCTCTGCAGAGGCTTTGGCCTATAAACACATTCACAGATATCGGCATACCTGTGAATAAAGTCTCTGACAAAGAAGCCCTTTTATTTGGCACTAGCTGTCCCCTAGAATCATAGAATCATAGAATCAAAGAGTTGGAAGAGACCTCATGGGCCATCCAGTCCAACCCCCTGCCAAGAAGCAGGAATGTTGCATTCAAATCACCCCTGACAGATGGCCATCCAGCCTCTGTTTAAAAGCTTCCAAAGAAGGAGCCTCCACCACACTCCGGGGCAGAGAGTTCCACTGCTGAACGGCTCTCACAGTCAGGAAGTTCTTCCTCATGTTCAGATGGAATCTCCTTTCTTGTAGTTTGAAGCCATTGTTCTGCGTCCTAGTCTGCAAGGAAGCAGAAACAAGCTTGCTCCCTCCTCCCTGTGGCTTCCTCTCACATATTTATACATGGCTATCATATCTCCTCTCAGCCTTCTCTTCTTCAGGCTAAACATGCCCAGCTCCTTAAGCCGCTCCTCATAGGGCTTGTTCTCCAGACCCTTGATCATTTTAGTCGCCCTCCTCTGGACACATTCCAGCTTGTCAATATCTCTCTTGAATTGTGGTGCCTAGAATTGGACACAATATTCCAGGTGTGGTCTAACCAAAGCGGAATAGAGGGGTAGCATTACTTCCCTAGATCTAGACACTATGCTCCTATTGATGCAGGCCAAAATCCCATTGGCTTTTTTGCCGCCACATCACATTGTTGGCTCATGTTTAACTTGTTGTCCACGAGGACTCCAAGATCTTTTTCACACGTACTGCTCTCGAGCCAGGCATCCCCCATTTTGTATCTTTGCATTTCGTTTTTCCTGCCAAAGTGGAGTATCTTGCATTTGTCACTGTTGAACTTCATTTTGTTAGTTTCGGCCCATCTCTCTAATCTGTCAAGATCGTTTTGAATCCTGCTCCTGTCCTCTGGAGTATTGGCTATCCCTCCCAATTTGGTGTTGTCTGCAAACTTGATGATCCTGCCTTCTAGCCCTTCATCTAAGTCATTAATAAAGATGTTGAACAGGACCGGGCCCAGGACGGAGCCCTATGACACTCCACTTGTCACTTCTTTCCAGGATGAAGAGGAAGCATTAGTGAGCACCCTCTGGGTTCGTCCATTTAACCAATTACAGATCCACCTCACCGTAGTTTTGCCTAGCCCACATTGGACCGGGCCACGCATTGCTGGTTTTGCCTAGCCCACATTGGACTGGGCCACGCATTGCAAGTAGGTTCAGCCCTGTAACACTTCTCACCTTAGAAAGTATTTATTAGCATCATATCAGTGCAAGGACCAAGTTAACTGGCTCACAGACTCCATCTGTGAGAACTGTTTGTCTTACTGCTGATCTTCACTTTTCTTTCTCCATCCAACAGAACCTGCCACAAGGATTCTCTCGCTGTGACCTGAAAGACAATCTTCTTCAAAATGGTTGTACAAGTGACTTTATTGAGTATCCAGTCAGCAACACCCGCATCCTAGAGAATAGGCCCCTCAGCAATAAAGGGTCAGGGAGTGAAATCACCCAAATGACTCCACAGAAGATTGAGCTCAACTTGCGGCCAGGTAATAATAAATAATAATAAAAAAACTTTATTTATACGCCGCTACCATCTCCCCAAGGGGACTTGGGGCGGCTAACATGAGGCCAAGCCCAAGAATACAATAAAGCAAAATGAAATACATACACCAATCAAATGCAAACAGTAACAAAATAATACAATAGGGTAATCACAGGATATAAAATAAATTATTAAAGAATTAAACACAGTGGGCATGGCCAAATGCAAGAGATAAATTTATAAAACCCTGGTTGAGATAGATAGAGTAATGAATCTGGCAAGAGATTCAGATGGGTCAAAAGATAGGGTTGATTTTCACTAAGGAATGAGATAAAGTGCCTCAAAAGGACAATTTTTTTGTACTGGGATGATCATAGTATTCCTCAAAAGCACACCGGAAGAGCCAGGCTTTTAGGCTTTTTCTAAAGGCTGCTAGAGTGGGTGCTTGCCTAATCTCTCTGGGTAGTGAGTTCCAGAGCCGAGGGGCCACCACAGAGAGGGCCCTCTCCCTCATCCCCACAAGCCATGATCACGAAGGTAGGTAGGTAAAGCAGGACACACAGCTTTTAACATATATGGGTTATTGTAGCAGAGGTGGGTTGCAACCAGTTATACATTCTGAGTTATGATCATCAGTGGCATCCCTGGTATTGACTGTGCATGGTCAGAAATTCCCACAATGGGAAAATGGCTGGTACATTGTTGTTGTATGTGTGCTGCTCAGTGCTTGGCCAGCAGACATGGTTAATCAAACATTTGGAGAGATGGAAGGTGGCCAAAAATCTCTTGGGGAAAACCTTATTTTTTCACACTTTTCCCATATGTTAACATTTCAGATGACTCCCAAACCTTCACAGTGCAAGTGCGGCAGGTAGAAGATTACCCTGTAGACATCTACTATCTGATGGACTTGTCCAATTCCATGAAGGATGATCTTCGTAACATCCAGAACCTAGGTACCAACCTAGCCTTGAAAATGCGCACAGTGACCAGTAACCTGAGGATTGGCTTTGGAGCCTTTGTGGACAAGCCTCTGTCCCCTTACATGTACATTTCACCTCCGGAAGCCATCAGAAATCCATGCTATGAGTAAGTTCTCTGCTGATACACAGTTGGGTTGCTATGATCTCTTTGTAAAAACATGTCATCTAGAACACTGCTTCCTTAACTCAATGTTAGGGTCATGTAAAATTTGGCAACAGTGAAAGGTTTTTGGGTGCCACCCATTTACACAATCCGTTAGCAACAAATACAGGAGATGCAATGGACTCTGCAGAAAATGCTTTAGCTGTACTCCACAAAAAGGAAAGTCAGCCTGTTTTGGGAGCTTTTAAAATGCTAATTTGTTTTCTGTAATGTTTGATTTTAATGCGTATTTTATATAGGTATACACCTGGAGTCATATAAAAAATTCTCAGGCAAACGGGTTGTAAGTGGAAAAAGTTTAAGAAGACCTGATCTAGAATATAAAGAGTTGCCAGAGGCACTGTGAGCATTTCTAAACTAAATTTAAGAAGCAAATAGGTTAAGGACTTGTGCTTATTTTAAAAAACCTATCAGACGTGTTTTTTCTCATCCTATCCTTGCTTCCTCTTAGATTGTAAGTCTCCATTTTATTTCTCATAATGGAATTCATGTATCTGAATTTCGGGGGGTTGTTGTTGTTGTTGTTGCACTAATAAGATTTGTGTTTTTGTATGCATTTTCCTCATTAGTGAAATACATGTATATATTATTCACTACCTGCATTTTAAAAATGTTTCCATAGTTTCAGTGCATTTTTTCCCTCCCAAACATGCTGCAGGCCTTGTAAATCTGGGGATGTTGCAGGTAAGGTGCACTTCATCTTGCAATACATGTTGAGAGGTGCAAAATAGACACTTTCATTTACTATTTTGAATCCAGTGAAATTTTATTCTATTGTATGTTCAAAATACTTCAGCATCAATATTAAATGTTGTAAAAAGTGAGCAGGTTACCCAATGAACCAGAATTCTTAAGTCGAGATCCAGTATATTTAGGGTAGCATCAATATATGCTAGAATAATTAAGGTGGATTCTACAGTTGGGCAACTGGCACTAAGAACTTCAGCTCACTCCTTCCACTAAGTTAAAGTTGTGTAAACCCGCATGTCCATATGCAACAGGAATGGTTGCACTATCACACTTCTGAGGAAGTGCAACTGATTGTGTCATTAATTATCAACTGAAAAGGAACAATTGTTGAGATCTATGTTTAATGTCAGTGCACACAAAATAAAGCATACCCATTGGTCATTTCTTAGGCAGAGTAACTGGAGCTGGGCAGAGAGAACGCCTCCACCAGCACAACAGCTCTGTAAGAGTGCTTTCTGACAGAGGCAGTTAACTTAAATAGTTAAACAGTTACACAAGTGAATTACCAGGGTTGAATGAAAAGTAATGCCTTCACCTTCGTAACTCTTCAACAGATGGCAGTACTAGTATGTGGCAGGTACTGGCTTGTTCAGTAGATTCTCCTCTACAGTTCCATTTTTGCAGGAAGCCTTATCATTGAATGGTTGTGTTGTTAAAGTGTGTACTGTTGATGTGAGTACTGTGCATCGTTGGGCGAGTAAGTTTAAAGATGTTGAGGTGGGAACATCTGACTTGCGTGACAAACAAAGAGTTGGATGTCCTTCTGACAGCAACCATCAAGTTTCACAAGCAAAAGGTTGGCAGATTGATTTGGGATGATCGTCATATCACTCAGAGAGAAATTTCAAGCATAATTGGCATTTCACAAGAAAATGTGGGTCACATTATTGCTTTGCTTGGCTATTGGAAGATCTGTGCATGATGGGTTGCAGAACAGAGTGTCGACTTCCTCCGTGACGGCTTTAGAAAACTTGTTCATCATTGGCAGAAATGTATCCAATTGTCTGGTGATTATGTCGAAAAGTGAATAATGGTAGTTAAAGAGCATTCTGCATTTGATTTATTAAAATATTCCCATCCAAACCCAAGTAATGAAGGTAGAGGCATTACTTTTCATCCAACCCTCATACAAGTGGAATACAGAAATCTTATCTCCCCTTCTTCCTTCCCAAAACTCTATGAATGAGGCAGGACAATTGCACATCAAAGCCTTATCTGTCAAATTTCCTGAACTGATCCCACAATCTGTACAAATTTCAGCACTGTGTGTTTTTGACAGCTTTCCGATCACTGGCTTTTTTTTTTTTTTGGTGGGATGGTGAGCATTTCCAAGTCACTCTGCAGGAAGCCATACAAACAATATGCAGCTAAGCATCCCTCACATTTTTGAACAGGTTGTGTGCCTGTGTAACAGTTTAATATAAGTAAGTAATTGGAGTTAATTGTTGAATAAATCAATGGAAAAATATAATTTATCAAGGAAAATAAGTGCAAAAAAACTGTCAGGATTTATGAAAGTTGTATAATGGATGATCAAGACTTTTCCCCAATGCTTTCCTTTTATGTTTAATTTCTTTTCCTATGAGCATGTTATATTTAGATAGGACTAAGGACTTCAAAACCTATGTGTGACTTTTATAAAGATTATTTACAGTGTCAAAGTAAGAGGAAAGTGTAACATTGGTTTAATGTAAAGTGTTCTGTGGCCTTTTTCAGCCAAAGTAGGGGGTGAAAACATTTTAAATCAGGGTTGGGTAACTGTAGACATGATGGACCATTTTCCCTTCCTGTGGCAGGCCACAGCATCACATTTCAGTACGCCAAAGTGACTTGATGTCATTTCTGGTTACTATTTTGGCCATTTTTCTTTCTTTCCCCCTCCTTTCCCCCTACCTTCTTTCTTTTTTTCTGTTTGAGAAAGATGGAATAGCTCAAGGGAAAGAACTTTTCTGTCTTTTCTGTCTTTTAAGTGGTTTTGGGAGATTAAGGGTCATTCAGGGGCCAAAAATCAAACCCTAAATCAGGCTTAAAAAATGAGGGTGGGTAAAAAGCCCACAGGCCACACTTTGCCCAATCCTGCTTTAAATAAAATGGAATAGAGCGGTAGTGTTTAACCATGAAGTGTGCGGTACAATTGTGAATTGATTGCTAGAACCACACAAATGATTAATTATATTCAGTCTCAATTGACCTTGCCCTCAATAAAGTAATTCCACAACCAACTGTAGCGGGATGTTGACCTCACATTTCCTGTATGATCCTTCATTGCTTGAAATTGCTCCAAGAAGGAAAATAAAAACCATAAGAAGTGATAATATAGAGGGGGAAAAAACAGGAGAAAATAGTATCATTCACTGGCGAAATATTGAGTGATGTCATTCATCCAGTGTTTTTTTAATTCTTCCCCATGCAATATTTCTGTCTCACAAAACTGAAAAGGGCAGACATTTAGACAGCTCTAGTAGTACTTTAGCTTTGGCTATTTTTCACTTGGGTTGACATATTCCTTCTGTATAATATCACCCTTCATTTATTCTCATTTCTTTGCTGCCATTCAATTTTTGACTACAATCCTTGGCATAAGAATAAATTCGAGTGGTATATTCATACAAGAAGATTAAATCCGCTTGATCTTAGTGTCTTGGCAGATATATGAATCCTCTTTTACTCAAAGCTGTAGTACTAAACCTTACATTTTCTAAGCTCAGTCTTGCATTGTCATGAGAGAGACAAATACACTCCTCCACCTTTCCCTGAGTTATATATACTGGATTACAGCCAGAAGTGGAGAAGGGAGTTCTTCGTTTGTGTCTCAGCAAAAGGCCAAGCAATGAAGTGTGCTATTTGGAGAAGAGAATGGTTCTTCGTATCAGTGACTCTGCCATTTTCAGACAAGCCTCAAGTCAACCTTTCCTTTCTCTTGTCCTAAGTCTATCCTATTGCTTTCTAGCTTGAAACCACCAGATAACTACTGCCTGCCAATGTTTGGCTATAAACATGTGTTGGCACTTACAGATGAAGTTCAGCGTTTCAATGAGGAGGTGAAAAAGCAGAGTGTGTCAAGGAACCGTGATGCACCTGAAGGAGGGTTTGATGCCATCATCCAAGCTACTGTCTGTGATGTAAGAGCCTTCATGGATCAATAAATAGATTAAGAAGAACATCCTAGTGATGTATACATGTTATATATCTGGTTGCATATGGAGAGATGTATCAATTGGATTTCTCAGAAGCACCCAAAATGTCTTGGGACAGCCTTGTGTTGAAAAATAATCTGCCATCCTGAGCGGAGTTTAAGTCTTTTTTATTACTCTTTTTCTTTTTTTATAAAAAATAATTTAATTACATATTTTCTAACCCTCACCGCTGTGCTCCCCACCCCCCACCCCCTCCCAAGCCATAGCTTTTACATATCATCTGTCCAAAATTTCAATTCTTCTTGTGGAGGTAATTTTCCTTCTTTATTTTTCATCCTTTTTCAATAAATTTTCTCCATACATCATCAAAATCACTTTGTTTCCATATACCTCTTTTGACTTTTAATATACATGTCAGCTTATCATTTATTGCCAATTTCCATACTTCCTGATATCACTCCTCTATTTGTATATTTATTTCTCTTTTCCAATTCCTTGCTATAAGCAGTCTTGCTATTGTTAATAAATTTGTTATCACATCTTTATCCTTTTTTAATTGTTTATTATTATATAATGATAATAAGGCTATACTAGGACTTCTTTCTATTTTAATGCTCATTACACCTTCTATTTCTCTAAATACTTTCCCCCAAAATTTATTTACAAATTTACATTGCCACCACATATGTATATATGTTCCTGATTCTTGACATCCTCTCCAGCAAGTTTTTGAATAGTTTTTATTTATATTTGCTATTCTTACTGGTGTTAGGTACCATTTCCATATTAACTTGTAATAATTTTCTTTAACCCGTATTGATAAGTTTTTTAAATGTATTTGTCTCCATAATTGTTGCCATTCTGTTTCATTTATTTTTATCCCTAAATCTTCTTCCCAGATCTCCTTGAGGATGTTATTTTTTGTTTTTCCTTCCTTTATTTCAATTATTATCTTATATACTTTACTAGTTATTCCTTTCAAATTTTCATGCTCCTCTACAACCCTTCCATTTTGTATTATTTGTTCAAATTGGTTAAGCTTACTTCCGTTTTTTGTTATCTTTCCCCCAATTTTTAAACCATTTCCTAATTGTATACAATGGAACCATGTCAATTTTAACTCTCTAAATTCTTCCATAATCATTTCCTTCTTCATTCCAACCTTTATCCAATCCCCTATTTTGTCTAATTCCCCCCCCCCCCTTAACTTTTTATCCATTACTTTTTCGGAGTTTAAGTCTTAAAAATATGTCCATTTTATTCTAACTGATGTCAAATCTATGCCTTTGGTTATTTCTTTATGGGTTGTACTTTTCTGTGTGGATCATGGACACTATGCTTTTGTTCTTGTTTTGTTTCAGGAGAAAATTGGCTGGAGACCAGGTGCCTCCCACTTACTGGTCTTCACTACAGATGCCAAAACACACATTGCTTTAGATGGGAGACTAGCCGGGATTGTTACACCCAATGATGGGCATTGCCACATGGACAGCAACAATGTATATGAAGCTTCAACCAGATTGGTAAGAACCTTGTTTTGCAGATACAGTGCTAGAACTACAACCACTACAAGGATCATTCTACTATATTTGATGATACATTTGGACAATCTTCTTTGGAAGCTTTTAGACAGGGGCTGGATGGCCATTTGTCAGGGGTGATTTGAATGCAATATTCCTGCTTCTTGGCAGGGGGTTGGACTGGATGGCCCATGAGGTCTCTTCCAACTCTTTGATTCTATGATTCTATGATTCTAATTATAAAAGATGTACAATTACATATTCTCCCATCCCCAGCTTATTGAGACTGATGGACCTCATGAATACCTAAAGTAGTATACTAACACTAAGAACAGCAGAATAAATATGTATTATCCCAATAAAAGTGAAGCAGGAGGAAAAGTTTACCTCAAATGATGGAAAACAGTTTTTCTCTTCCTGTGACAGTAAGCCCAAAGGCAACACTTTTACCAGTTATGTAAAAGGGGACACATGCAAGGATCCTGTTGAAATAGAGGCCAAGCCTACTTCTTGCCTCTATAGATCACTATTATGGAGAATGTTCCTAATTGCATAATGTTGCTACTTCATTTGTGTAATGCCAACTATGAAAGCATGACAGCATGCTGGGATAAATGGAGCAGACTCTTGAGACCTGGCTTGATTTATTTATTTGATCTTATACCCCCTTCACTTCAGAAATGCATACATAGATAATATTTATAAGGAAATTCCTAGTTCTGGTATCATAGTCACATTTTTTTTCTTTTGCTTGGTTGTTGTTTTTGAGGAAAAGAGAATAAAGCCTACATATGTCACTTTCTTCTCATCCCTATAATCCCCAGTTGTTGTTTTCCCCCCAATGAGACATAAGTGACATTAGAATTTATCTATCTTGCCCTTTCCCAAGGATTACCCATCTCTTGGTCTGCTGACAGATAAACTCTCCCAGAAAAACATTAACTTGATTTTTGCTGTGACTCATGGCATCGTGGGACTTTACCGGGTAAGTGGGCTTACTGAGCTTCTGTTTGCTCTGAGGTTATTGGACTGTGATAGTGTGGGACATCAACATGAAAAGATTGGGATGAAATGCAATGAAATATCATAAATCAAAGTTTTTTGTGTCTCTTACAAGCAAATTTTTAACTGACATGCAATATATTGTCGAAGGCTTTCATGGCCGGGATCACTGGGTTGTTGTAGGTTTTTCCGGGCTATATGGCCATGTTCTGGAGGCAATTTTTCTCCTGACGTTTCACCTGACATGCAATAGCTTAACAAATACCTGGAGTCTCTATTATTTAACTATGATGTTCCATCACAGAGTTGATACCCCATCACAGAGTTAGCCACTTAAAAAACAGCCAAAAAGAAAAATGTTTGGTCAGAAGTGGATATGTTGTGTGGACGAAGGATAGGTTTCCTGTCTGTAACTGTAATTCTTTGAATGGTCATCTGTGAACTCATACAAATGGTTTACATATGCCAGCTCAGTTCATCAGTTGGAAATTTCTAGAGCTACTGGAGAAGTATTTTTGGTGGTAATCCCATCCAGTCCCCATGTGACTTTATGCCAGGTGTCCTCAAACTTTTAAACAGAAGGCCAGGTCACAGTCCCTCAAACTGTTGGCAGGCCGGATTATAATTTGAAAAAAAAAAACATGAATGAATTCCTATGCACACTGCACATATCTTATTTGTCGTGCAAAAACACTTAAAGGCAATACAATAATTAAAATGAAGAACAATTTTAACAAATATAAACTTATTAGTATTTCAATGGGAAGTGTGAGCCTGCTTTTAGCTGATGAGATAGGATTGTTGTTGTTGTGTGCTTTCAAGTTGTTTCAGACTTAGGTTGACCCTGAGGGAGGACCGGGTAAATAACCTTGGAGGGCTGTATCTGGTCCCCGGGCCTTAGTTTGAGGGTCTTCGCTTTATGCTCTTGCCTAAACCCTCTGTTCTGTGGACATCAGAGCAGTAGATACATCCTTGGACTGATGAAATGAGGAAGTACGATCAACATAAAGTACAAATGGTCTGCAACCACCTAGGCAATGGAAGAGAATGCTCCAAGTCAGTGGTAGGATTCTAAAAGAACACTGGTAGATGATATTCTGGTTTAGATGGTAGGTAGACACAATGTTTAGTTTTTAAAAGTCTGATCTCTGGACTACTTTATTGTTATAAAAGTGAAGGTAGAGATGATCCATCTGCAGAACACAAAACCATTGAAATAATACTGTCCAGGTGGGAAGTCTTAGATCACAAGAATCCTGGGGAATGAAGGATTTCTTTCACAGTTGAGAAAGCAACAGTCCTAGACTACACTGAACAGTGAGGCCAACAACAGATGGGTGCAAATTTTCTAACCTTCCAAGAAGGCTTTGACCAGTGAATTCTAGAAGCATCAGGACTTGCCAAGATGTTGCAAATGCCATGATACCTTCAGTTGCCTTTAGATCCAATATAGCACACCAGTCACTCTTCTTCATCAAGGAAAGAATGAAACCAAGAGTGACTATCCTGAAATACCTGAGTTGAACCTGAAATTGGATATCTTGAAGGTCCAGGATGGGAGTGGAATAAGATGGAGATCAGAATCAATGCCAGGAATGAGATAGTGATTGAGAGCAACACCTGCATCATGATGGATCTCAAAGGGCAGGTGGAATAGAGGGTAACAAGCAGTCCCTACAACTTGACTTGATATTGGAGGGTAAAGATGTCAGTGGTTTGGGAACTGGGGCAACAAGGTGTGAAGCAGTAGCAGATAGACCATCAGGAAAGTCCCTTGTCTGCCCTTTCAAAACCATTTCTAGGTCAGATATATGTGGAGAAGGTGGACACCTCTGAGGTGGTGCCAGAGTGAACTATTGCATAGCAAACCAAGGAGAAACAACTGAAACATGGGGGCACGTGTGGTAATCAGAGGTATATCATCAATGCAAGAAGCACAGTAATCAACACCAAAAATACTAATACAGTATCAATATCCAATAGAACAGTCTATGCCAAATTCACCAAAAATCTTAAACCTGAGAGGAATATAGCTATGAAGTGGTGCTGAGACACTACTACTGTGGAAGATAGGAAATGTGCTGGTATGGTACGTGGGGGGGGGGGGGCTGCTACGAAACACTTATGTGATAGTCTTTGAAATTTCCAAATATGCTTTTTGCAAGTACAGATGACCCATTTGTGTAAGTCACAGGCCCCTTCTACACTGCCATATAATCCAAATTATCAAAGCAGATATTCACATTATCTGCCTTGAACTGGATTATATAGTCTATACTGCCATATAATCCAGTTCAAAGCAGATAATCTGGATTTTGTATGGCAGTGTAGAAAGGGCACAGAGATCACAAAAAGGAACCGCAACTTATATTCATCTGTGGTACTCAGGATAAATTTCTGGATATAGAACTCTGTAACTGAGGGCCCTTCCATTCAGCCATATAACCCAGAATATCAAGTCAGATAATCCACAATATCTGCTTTGAACTGGACTATCTGAGTCCACACTGCCTTATTATCTAGTTCAATGTGGATAGTATACAGCTTTGTGGCAAGGGCCTGGTCTCTTCTGATGTTTTGATTGGTGATTTTTGATATTTTAAAAGCCTCATAAGCATTTCCCCTGGTCTAAATGTCTATCTGCTTCTTGTATTCTGCAATTTCTTGCAGAAAATGGTAAAATACTTTGGGGACCTATGTTTTATTTGGTGCAGGTAGTCCATCTATAGAAAACAAACATTGTACATTATCACTGTGTTCATAACTGCTATGATCACTTAATGGCTATCCTTTTAGTTACAACTTACAAAGTCTCTCTCTGTACTTAGTCTGATCCTTATAGGGGGAGACTTTTAGTCTGTTACTGGACTCAATTCAAATCTGGTTAGTAAAACCAGCTAGGGCTTGTGCTATGCTGACAAAGTTTTTGAGAGCCCAAGGTGGCTCCATTTCACACTGAGCCAGCAGAGTAGGCCTTTGTGGAGGAATAATAATACAATAGGGATCTTGTCATGCACTACTTCTAGCCCACTTGCTGGGGAAAATGTTGGCCAAAATAGCAAAGTCTCGTCAAGTTTTTCTTAGCTTCTGCCTTTCTGCTTACTTCTTTCTTTCCAGAATTATAGTGAGCTCCTTCCAGGCACCACAGTAGGGACCCTGACAAGTGACTCCAGCAATATTCTGCAGATTATTTTGGATTCCTATGGGGTGAGTAAACCAGCAGTGACATACAAAAGATGCACCATGTTATCAGCATTATAGAAGCAAACTAGGCAACCACCAAAGATGCCCTAGTAAAGCAAATATATTGTGGAATAAAAACACTGCCTGTACTTTGGGATGAAGTGCCTAGATCAGCGTCTCTCAACCTGAGGTTTGGGACCCCTGGAGGGGTCACCAGGGGGTGTCAGAGGGGTTGCCAAAGACCATCAGAAAACACAGTATTTTCTGTTGATCATGGGGGTTTTGTGTGAGAAGTTTAGCCCAATTCTATCGTTGGTGGGGTTCAGAATGCTCTTTGATTGTAGGCAAACTATAAATCCCAGCAACTATAGCTCCCAAATGTCAAGGTCTATTTCCCCCAAACTCTACCAGTGTTCACATTTGGGCATATTGAGTATTTGCATCAAGTTTTGTCCAGATCTATCATTGTTTGAGTCCATAGTGCTCTCTGGATGTACATCAACTACAACTCCAAAACTCAAGGTCAACGCCCACCAAATCCTTCTAGTATTTAGTTCAATTCCATCATTGGTGGAGTTCAGAATGCTCTTTGACTGTAGATGAACTATAAATCCCAGCAACTACAACTCCCAAAAGACAATATCAATTCCCCTCGAACCCCACAATTATTCAATTTGGGCATATTGGGCATTTGTGTCAAATTTGGTCCAGTGAATGAAAATACACCCTGTATATCTGATATTTACATTATGATTAATAACAGTAGCAAAGTTACAGTTGTGAAGGAGCAACCAAAAAATTATGATTTGGGGTCACTGCAACCCAATCTTTTCTCTTCTTTTCAGAAAATCCGTTCCAAGATCGAACTGGAAGTACGCAATCTGCCAGAAGAATTGTCCCTTTCATTCAATGCCACCTGTCTTAATAATGAAGTAATTCCAGGAGTTAAGTCCTGTGTAGGCCTAAACATTGGTGACACGGTGAGTTGCAGGGGTGCAGCTCT